GAGAGAGAGAGAGAAAGGAGGAGGAAGGAGAAAAGGTGGAAGGAAAGACAGGAAGCAGAAAAGAAAGAAGGCTGTAGTGTTTTTCATGGATGAGCAGCCAGCCCTGTAATTCCCCTCGTCTTAGACAGAGCCAGGGATGTTGCTGGCGCTGGAGCACGTCCCTGCAGGCTGCTGCAAGGTGTTAAACGTATGCCAGCTCTCCTCACTCCGACATACTGAAGGTCCCACCACTGCCTCACTCCAATATTCATCATCACTACAACAAAGATCTCCTCTCTGCATCACCCTGTGACTTATAGCTTTTCATATTATTAAAGGAATGGGTAAAGCAGAAAGTTAGCTCTGCAATTAGCACACGGGCCAGCTGCCATCACACAGGCTTTGCAGTAAGAAGCTGGCAGGTTAAAGAGCGGCCGATGTCCAAAGTGTGTCAGACATTCTCACAAGATCCGGGCTGCAGAGTACGTGTGAAAACATGATGGATGATGGTGTTGCTTCATCTTTGATGTGATGTCAATGTGCGTGTGTGAGAGAGAGAGAGACTAACCAATTGTACAGTTGGAGGTGATCCTCCTTCTTTTGGGGTTGTGACGCAGCAGCTCCAGCTCCCTCTTCGTCGGCTCCCACGTCGAGTACTTTTCCCCGATACCTGGAACACATTTACACGGACACACAAACCTGTGTAGCCTGAACCATGAAATAATAATTTTGAAACTGGCGTCGTTACTGAAGCTTCTTACAAATGAGAAAAAAAGACATTAAATATGCATTTGCATATATCAGTTAAAATTTCTATCATTTTTGCTGCTTTCTGCATTTTTGTGTTGTCTATTTGGGTTTTTCGGGGGGGAAAATGAATAAAAATCACACTGATTAATTCTCAAACACTCTCAAAATACACTTGCCGTTAAAGGTTGAGGACTTGAATCTTTCTGTTCAAGCTTAGAGGGCTGCCATAAACACATTTGACCACTGCTACATATGCATGAACCCACTGCAGCTGCTCTATAAAAATCCACATTTACAGAGGATTAGAAACAATGTTGCAATACAGCATTATCATTCATATGAATATTAGCACATCAAAACTGAACTCTATAAAAACTTTTAACTGCAAAATGCTAATTTATATCTAATCAGGTTAATAAGCTGGATAATGAAGACCAGGAGTTTAAAGAATTTGCAGAGCAGTGTGGATTTTAATATTGCATATGTGCTGCCATCTCAAAATGCAGTGATTGAGCACAGAAGTGCCATTGCTTGGTGAGCTCTGGTGTAGAAATGTCCCACTGAGGTCAAAGTCACTTGGTGCGTTGTTTAAAGTTGCTGTACCTTGCATCTTCCAGGCCTTCCTTTGTTCCTCTTTGGCGATCTGTTCCATCTCTTTGTCGTAAATGTAGTCTTGGCACATAAAGCAGTAAATTCCCCCGTACAGCAGGTCGATAGCTGGACAGACACACAAAGAAAAGAAGAAGACGGCATTTTATTCAAATGCAGGGACACTCACGAGACTGTAAAGAGTTGCGTGTTGCTGCAAACTGTGTAAAAGGCTAACTGCTTCACCTCTCAGTTTTATTCTATTTATGTCACGCTGCGATGGCAGGCAGCAGGGTTCATCTGCTGACAGATCAGCCATGTGTTCACAGCAGCCAGAAACGATAGAGAGAGCAATGGGAAGTCAAAAGGTGAGGACGCCGCCTTTCTGGGTAATTTCCCACCATCGCAGACTCACTTAAATGCTCACTCACGGCCCAAAACAGTGCTTCCACTCCGTCTTACCTCTCTCTCCTCACCTGCTCTGTACCCTGCGGCAACCTGTTTGCTGTTGCCATAACAACCTGCCTGACGGCCTCTCTCTTGGCTGTCATCTTCTGCAGGTACAGAGGAAAGAATGGAGGGAGGTGAGGAAAAGCAAAGGCAAATATAAAAGTGAAGGAAGAAAATTTGACAGACTGAAGGGGGGGTGGGGTTGTAACGGTGCCAAGTGAAATTAAATGAAATCCTTGAACAATTCGGAATATCGAAAGGGTCATCGGGTAACCATGGGAACAAGAAGAGGGCAGAAAGAGAAGAGGACAGTGGTGAGAGAGCGGGAGGAGTCCGACATGAGGAGGCAAAGAGAACGGTGGACGTCCGTAAAATGAGCAGATGAAAGAGATGCAAAGGCAAAACAGGAGGTGGAACAGAAAGAAGGAGGGTGAGGAGGAGGGGCCGGGTTTAATGGAGGCTAATTCCACAGGGTGTATTAAAAACGACTTAATTACCTCCTCATCAGCCTGCTGAGAGCATCTCTCTCTTTAAAACCCCCCCCAAAAAACCTTATCCTCCCCTTCTATTAGACGATTTCTTACAATTTTTGCAGAATTTAATTCAGCAGCTAACAGTTTATGTGGGCCTCTCTCTCTCTCTCTCACACACACACACACACACACACACACACACACACCGCAGGGGGTCTTCCTGAAGCCGAGTGATAAAGCAAAGCAGGCTTGATAAAAACCAAAGCACAGATTCTCCAACATCTGCCAAATCCAGCCTTTTGTCAGCGACACCCTCGGTGCCTCTGCTACGGCGGCGCTCTCCTGCACAACGCTGCAGTGTAACGCACTCCA